GTTTCCACTGAAACTATTGCTACTTATACTGCAAACGACAACATTGAACGGCAGTGCTCTGGCCTACGCTCGCGACCACCGGACACACCATAAGTGGACAGATCAGGAACAGGACCCTAAGAATCCGAGTCGAGGCATGTTTTACGCGCACATCGGGTGGTGGCTATTGAGGAAGAAAGACATTGTCAAACATTATGGTAACAAACTCTCATTCGACGACCTCTACGCGGACCCACTCATCAAATTTCAACACAAATTTTACATACCGTTAGCGTTTGTGTTTGGATTAGCGGTGCCAACACTTATACCCTGGTGTTTGTGGCGCGAGAGCCTATTGACCGCATTTCTACTGTGCGGGCCATTGAGGATATGTGTAGTATTGCATCACTTATTCACTGTTAATTCGTTGGCCCATTACGTCGGTCGGCGGCCATACGACCGGTCTATGCGGCCGACAGAGAACCGACTCGTTATATACCTATCACTGGGAGAGGGGAACCATAACTATCACCACACCTTTCCCTGCGATTACGCGTCCAGTGAACGGCCATTTTGGGAGTCCTATAATCCGTCCACACTTTTCATTCACGCTTTCCGTTGCATTGGTTTAGCCTATGATCTGAAGAGTCCGTCGCCTGAACTCATCCAACAAGTGATTGAACGCAAAGGGATTCCCGAATACTTTGCAAACCGAAACAATAAAAGTCTATTATATAGGATTATAAGGGGAGGACTGGACTGGACTGTAGGTTTGATGACCTCTTTGTGGCCAATTGTGGCCATAATTGTGTTCAAAGCACTGACCGCTCAGAATATGATACTCATTGATAACCGACGCGAACCATATTTAGGTCCATATTTGTTGGATCTCAACAATTACTGGCCATCAGGCAATTTAATTGTATTTTATTAACTTATCATGTCGTATTATTTTCTTAAATTTTTTTAAATAAACAAAATACGATTTGTGATTTATTTAGTATATTAATAAATAATAAATCTTAAAAAAATTAATGTGTATACAAAGAAAATTACAGCGTAAAACATTTGATGCGATCACATATTGAAACAGACTGTACTCACAACTTGTAATTTAATAAATTTATGCATCTAGTATTATAAAAATTTTAATTCGGTCACTATGGTTCAAAGAATTATCCAGAAATGGCAATTTTTGCCGGATACAGGAACATGCTCTTCCTGGAAATAGCAACATTCAAGAGCATAAACTATCACAATCTCTTTAATGTATTATTTTTTTTGTAAATCTATAACTAAATTTTTAATATTGATTTTAACCTTATATCATTAAAAATAATGATGATTTAATATGATCAGTGATGATTTAATAGATACAAATACTAGTGTGTTAATGTAAGTGTAAGATATAATTTTATTTTACCTCCAATGTTAATTTATTTATTACACCGCCGTTATTGAGCATATTTCGTTGATCACAAAAATTTTAAATATTATATTTTCAATTGGACAACAATCACCACAAATAAATAATTATTAAAAAAATAAATTCAAACAATGACTTTAAGTATTAAACTTATTTTAATAATATGTGTTGGTGGTTTTGTCTGTACGCAAAGTTATACTGATCAACCAACAACTATTAGGCCGACAGGATTATCATATTTTACAATACAACGAGATACATAAAATTTTCATTGTTTAATTTATATTATTAACGTTATAACAAAATAAATTAGTTACTATCATACTTACAACAATGCATATCTGGTAACTGGCGCAACTTGACAAAATTATATGCTAAATTTTTTATCACAATTTTTATTACATAGACCTGTGAAGTGAAAGATCGAATCGGATCCAATAATATATACCATAATATATATTAACAATATAATAAATAAATATTATAAGCTAAATTACAGTTTGCCTTATTTAAGATTAGTTTTATTTTGTAAATTTTGTAATTCATTTATAATTTGCAATTGTAGTTGTATATTAATTTATATTTAATTAATAAAATATTTCGACATATAATTAATAGATAACAACACTACACCATAGAATCTCAATGAGTGCATATCCGGGCAAACTTGGGAATTATAGGGCAACAGACTTTATAGTCGATTTATTATTACATGTACGCATTCACATATATAATGACCAAATACTGCGAGTGGTAAAGTTTTAAATTTTCTTTTACTTATCTAAATTTAAATTTTGTATAAAATTAATTTAAATAATTTTTGTCAAATTATTAATCGCTCTCTCAATGACACACTAACTGTCACTCATTTCTTTTTCTCTCATTTTGAGAACTTTTTTTGTGTCACAAATGTAATGGCATTTGTGATTCATGTTTCAAAGATTTCCAAAATACAACAAATATAATGCCTCATTGGTCAGCCTTGTTGGTCTAGAGGTAAAATCTCTAGGGCAGATCAATGTGGAGCCTAAGGTCTCTGGTTCGATACCCAAGAGCTACCTGTTTCACAATCTGTTTTTCCAACTTAATTACGGCTGAGAGGGTAGTCGGCGTGCCCTCGTTAATACGGACGCTAGACAGTTACTGGTTGTGTCTGCCGGTGCTGTGGCCACGGGATGTGGCTTAATAAACACCGACGCCTGGTAAGAATACCAGCTTCAGCTGATACCACAGCGTCGTTAAATAACAGTATACTTATACTTATACTTATTTAGTTAATGTTTAGTTAAAAACTTTTTTTATCGTAAGATGCGATTTCCTGCACTACACATAACAATTCAACGGACAAATCAATGACTGACATCAAGATTCTATTGAAGGAATTACAATATAAATCAAAACAAGCCATAAATAAGACAAAGGGTACAATAGGGGTTCTCCGGAGCAGAGGCTGGACACCCTATACAAGGCTCCAGGCATTGGACGAGAGGGTGAAACAGTTGCGGGTGGAAAGGGTTGCCGTAAACACTGGATTCGCCGGCACTAAACTGGAACTAAAGGACTCACTCCGGAAATTAAAGGAAATTATTTATAAACGCATTGAGAGCACCGGCAGGAAAGGTGCCGGCGATCTATACATCGAGTCCAAGAAACTGACCGACATGTTGGACGAGACGGACAAACTAGAGTTAGTACAACAGCATTGGTGCGGGTATTTACCCGATGAGCCCCAGGAGGCTGAGGGGGAGGACTCGGGTGTAGGTGAAAGTGAGGACTCGGATGAGACGAGTAAACACATGGATGTATTGATGAATGTTAAAGACAGTACGGATGTGGCGCTCGGGAGGGCTAAGCGCCAGATAAAAGGTTTGAGGCGTAAAGCCATTGAAAAAAGGGTTAAGACATGTGAGGGTAGAGTTGGCCAAAGCCGATGACCTGGAGCTGTATCTACTGGATTGGGGCGCAGTGTTTGGTTGGAGTACCGGTAGCTGCGGGGGTAGGGGTGATCGGTATGGCAAACATAAAGTGGTGGGTAATGCTAATTATGATGATTAGTAAAATTAATTTTGAAGTAAACTATAATATAATTTTTATAAAAATTTGTTTTTTATATATAATTTCATACGGAACAGTACTACCATATAAAATTTGAATTTTTATAAATAGTTATATTAAAAATAATTTTTAAAATTATTTCCAGTTTGTTGTAGTTTGTCCAAAATTGTTATAATAATTTCTTACAAGATATTTTCAGTATCTTTATATTTTAGTTTAATATTTTCTTAATTTGTAAATAATAAATAACTATATTTTAATATTGTTAATAAAATAAAACAAAATTATTAAAATAACATTTTTAATTTATATAATATGACATTGGAATTTTATATAAACTTTACATTTTATGTCATAGTAAAAACAAGTAATTGGGTTTATAATTGTTTGCTAATTAATTCTTATATAAGGGCGGAATTATAAACAACTAGAAATACATTATAAGGTATGAGTGTTTATAATTACATAATTTCTTGTAAGCTCAAGCTTTATGTCAAAATAAATTAGTTAAAATATTTAAAATTAACACAATTATTACAACAATATATTGTTACTTTATTAATGTAGAATATGCAACATTTTTATTTGAGATTTTAAATCTAATATTTTTGTAAATTTTATTTTTGTTAAATTGAAACATTTTATTAATTTTTTTAATACAAGCTAATCACAAATAAACTTTTTAAAGTAACTTTTTATTTATGTAGCTTTTATACATTTATACAAGTGTAATTAGCATGATAAAATTAATCATCAGCAGGTTCAGTGTAATTGCCGTTAACAGGATTTCGGCCACAACCATCGCCCCGACCCACACCTCCAATGATAGGACAACTACCATCATCATTAGGCTTATATATCATGTACCGCAAAATATCGCCCGCATAGCATATACCAGACAATTGATAGACAGCCTCAGAGCCAAAACCATGTTGCACAAAATTGTACACTTTATTCATCTTATTGTCCACGAGTTTAGACTCGGCCCAAAATTCTTGGTTATTTTCAGACCCGGACTCTATGTTATACTTAGTGTTGCCAACTGGTCAAGGTTTGCCTTGATTAGCAAGGTGAGAGGGTTCTGGTCAAGGTGACAGGCGAGGGTCTCACCTTGACATAGACAGGTCAAGGTGAGAGCAAATGTAATTACCGTATGTCTATTTTAGGTATTTATAGTAATGAACACACTATTTAAAACCCAGAATACTATTTATTGCCTATTTGTATAATAGCAAAACAAATCCTTTATGAAAACCCCTTCATAAGAAAGACTTTTGTCTTCACAAAGCCGTATCTTATATGAAAAATACACTGTATTATATTAAAACTAAATTTAATTAAAGTTTAAATTAACATTTTGCTCATATTTCAATAATATTTATAATCAAATATGCAATAATAATGGTGGTCAAGGTTTAATCAAGGTGAATTTGGAAAATTTTTGCATTTTTCAAGGCGATAGTCGATCAGAGTTGGCAACACTAGTTATACTCGTCGATGGCATCTCTTTGCGTCAACAACTGTTGGATCAGTTCGTCGATTACCTCCAAAGACCTTAACCCGTATTGTCTGGTGAGCGCCCATACCTGAGCTCCCGGTGCTTTTCGTTGTGATTTATACGCCCTCCTGAGTGACCGCAACTGACCCCTCGCAGCACTGATTGCAATATCCGTGTCGTATCTGATTTGGGACAACACGTTGTATTCAATGTCGGTAAACACATCCGATATTTCCGGTGTTTCATACGTTACTATAGAAATAACAATTAGTGTTATCATGATTTAATTATTTAATTTTTAGAGTTAGTATCATAATGTTATAAATTAAACTATATTTACATATATTATCAACGAGGTGATGATATGTAGAGCTTTTAACAATTCCCAGATCTGTGTTTGTAGTGATTATTACAAACAATTGTATTATATTAATTAGAAAGGTGATTTTTGAGCTCATTTTGGGATTTAACTTTTAGTTTAACAACAACTCATTAATAAATGATTTTATTTCAAATATAGTATTTATATTTATTTATTTAGAGATGTAATACCTGTATATTTATAGTAATCATGTTTGTTTAAAACTATTTGATTATTATATCACATGATATAACTTTTAAATACGTGCTTAATTTTTCAATACATCTTGATAAAAATGCCAAATAATATTAGTAAAGGGTTGGGCATAAGTAGCAATAGTTTTAAATTAAGCGCCATTTGAATACCAGTAGAGATACAGACGTCAATTAAAGTTTGTTTTAATCACAAAAGTGTATAGTTTTTTTAGCACATGTTTTGATTTGATTAAAATAGCGTCTGCAAAATCTGTGTACGCCACCAAACAGAGGATCGATATCATCGAGCTGTACATCGAGAATGTGAGATCGGCTGCGGCAACCTTGCGCAAATTCAAGGCAAAGTATGGGGCAAGTGTGACCTTAACTTTGACCACAA